GGAGCCAAAGGGACAGGAACCCTGGGAGCAGGAGTGGGAGTGGAAAGTCAGATAGGCAGAGGTTCATTTACAGGATCTAGAGTTAGAGTTTCTGGAGTCAGAGATTCGTCTGGTTTAGGTATAGCTAAGAGCATATGGGCAGGAGAGGAGAATCAAGAAGAGAAGGTTTAGAACTTAGATAGAAAAAAAGCTATAGTATAAGGCAACTCCTTCCATTTGCCTGTTTGCTGGCAGAAGTTAGATAATTCCCGTAAAATATTGGGGTCTAAGGAACCACTTGGCAGCCATTTTTTGTTATTTTGTAAGGCACATTTGGGCCATCTCTTATTACAGAGGTGGACAGGTTTAGAAGTCTTTAAGCAGGGCATTAAGCTGAGAGGTTTTAAAGCTTCCAAAAGGCATCCTAGGGGAGAGGAGGGGCTGATGGGATTACAAGCCTTATTTTCCCATGTCTGCAGCAGAGAGGTCAAACAAACAAACAAATAAAAGCGTAATCCCAAGCCAAGGCCCCAGGTGTCCCTAAGGCCGAGGATGGATCTGTACCAGGCACAGGCCACCAGATGTCTCATCAGATGTAAGGTCGGGGCCTAAGGCATGTGAAGGCAAGGACTCCCTGGAGTCCGACAGCATTTACTGCTTTGTCAAGCCAGAACAATGTGTTGGCCTTACACAGCCTGAAGACGCACCCGAAGAAAGCGTTCTAACCGAGAGAATTATATCTCAAAACTGCAGATGTGGGAGATGGCTAGGAATTTTAGCCTGCAATAGGAACCGACCGTAGCCAGTGATGACCGTGGTCAGGGTTAACCCCAGTCTCAGGGACACCAGTGGGGCACTGGACACTCAACAGTCATCGCCACAGATCCAGGAGACTATTTACGCTGGTTGAAAAGTGGGGGACTCACCAATCAAAGTAGCTGGTGGTGTGTACAGGATCTGGCGGCCAGGCAAATGGACAGTGGGCTGTCGTGGATGGAGCAGACTCCCCCAGTACAGGTTCCCAGGCACAAAGCGCCGAGAGTGCCTGCTGTGCATGGCACAAATGATGGTTTTTAGCGGCGTTCTTACCCTAAAAGGAAAAGCCACAAAACAACAGAATCCACCAACAAGAAATTTATTAAGACAAAGAGAAAGGGATAGATGTGATCAGGCCTGTTAAAAGGACACATGTGGGAGAAGGGGGTAGGGGAACATGGGACCTGCCTTTTTAAGGGCCACCCCGCACATGTGCACACAGGCCCATGTGGCTACTCCATGCATGCCCATACATCACGTGGTCACACAGTGCATGATTATGTGACCATGCAGCACATCTTTTTAGTTGGAAGTTTTCCATTGTTGTGGCTGGCTAGTGATCGGGACAAATCTCTCCCACTTGGATCCCCCAAGTAAACACACAGAAGCTTATGTTAATTATAATTGATCAGCCATTAGCTCAGGCTTATTACTGACTAGCTCTTACACTTAAGTTAACCCATAATTCTTATCTGTGTTTAACCATGTTGCTTAGTACCTTTTCTCATTTCTGCCTTGTCATCTTGCTTCCTCTGTATCTGCTGACAACTCCTGACTCAGCCCTTCCTCTTCCCAGAATTCTCCTTATCTGCTCACCCTGCCTATATTTTCTGCCTGGCTACTGGCCAATCAGTGTTTTATTTATCAACCAATCAGAGCAACACATATTCTCAGCATACAGAATGACATCCCTCAGCACTTCTCCTTTTCTGTCTAATCAAAAAGGAAGGTTTTAACTTTAACATAGTAAAATTATATATAACAAACTGTTATCAAGCAAACATTAGTTATAATATCTAGTCTATTTGTATTTGGCAAAATTAAATATTTTATCTATCCTATATTTGTGAATCTAAAGTTTAATATCTAATTTACCTGTTATCATGACTAAGGAAAAGTATAATTATAACTATCTATTGTTCAACTACATCAAAGACCCCAGAAGGATATAATATTACCTAAGTAAACAGTAAATGCATTGTAAGGAACTTTCAAAATTCTGGAAATGATAGAGACAGCTGCCTGCCTAGACAGTCATCTAAAGTTCCTCAGTAACATTGGGGCATCCATCTTCAGTCAATAGGCCTAGAGTTTTTTAGTCACTTCTTCCTGTATCCTGTAAAATATTTAGCAGTTCCCTTTGCAAAGCAGGAACCTGAAAAACCATTTTGCCTTGCAAAGTTCAGTGGTCACTTTCCTATGGGTCCTGCATGTCCAGATGATACAACATTTTGTAAAGCAGTCCAGGCAAGAACAGTTTCTTGCCCAAATGGTGATTTTTGCCAAGAAGAAGATAAATTGCATATGGAGTATCTTCAACATCCATCTTCCTTTTTGAAGTAAATTGGTGCTACTAGGAGCAGATGTGTCTCACTGTCCAGAAAGTTTTAAGTTTTTAAAGCATCTTAAGTGCCATATTCTGCAGGTCTTGAAGTGTTTGAAGATTACCTACCAAATTGAAATATATCTATGTATACCTAGAAAACTTAACTAACATGACTATAAATTTGATTATTATGGATGACTAATTATTAATCTGTATTTATTAATTATACATTACAATTTCAGATGAGGTGTCCAAACATAATACCTTAAACAAGAGTAGAAATATATATAGAATAGCAAAATTAACTTTAAATTTGTATCAATAAACTAAAATCCATAGCAATGTAAAACATTTTAAACAAGTTTTTGCTCTTTAAAAGTAGATTCAATAATCTACCCTTTCATCCTATCATATCTATATCCTATTTCCATTTTTTCTTTAGAAAGCTATTGACTATGAACAATAACAATTTGTAACCAACAACCTAAACAAAGATAAACATCCATTATCCAGTTTTTGGGAATGGGACCTAGGTTTTTAGGTTACTCTCGGCTGATAGGGGGCACTGGTAGTATAGGGATCCTGAGAAAATTTGAGATAATGGTCAAGTCCTGGGAACACTGGCTATTACCTTTGTTGATAGGTACCGTCTGTTAAGGTTCAAGAAGTCTGGCTTGATCAAATCTGATCCATCTTAACCTGGAACAAATCCATAGCCTCTTGCTTCCAGTGGAAACAACAGCAGAGCCTCCTTTCCATAGAAAAATATCCTTAGATCCAAATTTTGAAGTCAAGATACCTTTAAAATATACATATTGGTTTAACTCATCAGCCTTTATAATCAAATGTCTTTCTCTGGTTAAAAATCCCAAAGACAATATCCAGATTCTTGGTATAATTTTCATCCTTATGTGGCTTAACTTCTATATTTTTCTTATTGTGTCTTTAAAGACTGTATTTTTTAAAACTTAATATATGAATATATTCCTTTTTCTCTCTTTCAAGCCTACACATATTTTTACATATAAAGCAAACCATTTGAAGTCTTAGTGCATCTGAGTCTGCCTTATTGTGAATCTATTGATTTAAACTACAGTGGCTAGTACTGAAGCAGAAGCCTTGGCTGATGACTCTGCCCACTTCAGCTTCCCAATATGGTGGTGGTATATTTACCACCAGCTCTGGAAGCCATGCACACCACCAACTCTTGGAAGCAATGGGTCTATGCCTCCATCAAAGAAGTGTGTAGCCCAGAAACAATTTTTTATTTGTCTGTACTAGCCAAAGCTAAATCCACCAGGCAACATACTGCGTGGCTTGGAGATGCCTCTGTGTACTCCAGCGGGAATCTGCCATGATGCAGGTCAAGCCCACATGCAGCTGCAAACCTGCCATACTGTAGCTCATGGCTCGCCTGAGAAACACAACTAGGAAGCTGGTTTTAGCTCCATTTTAGAATCTATTTTTTTAAAGCTTTCTCAGGTTTTAGGTGGAAACTCTTGGCCCATGTTGGGCAGCCAAATGTAATTGGGAGTTTTCCTGTGTCCCAGTTGGTTGGCAGTCAGGACAAATCTCTCCCACTCCCATCGCCCAAGTAAATACACAGAGGTGTATATTAATTATTACTGCTCAGCCATTCGCTCAGGTTTATTACTGACTAACTCTTACAATTATTCACAGCATAAAGAATGACATCCCACAACACATCTCTTCATCATTAAACAAATGTTCCACAACAGAAACAAGTATGTCAAATCTTAAAATAATATTATATCACTGGGGCCTCCTGCCTTTTTTGTTTTTATATTATTGTGTGGTGTGCCTAGACTGTAGGTTTTTGTCCATGTCAAGCATATGCTGTTGCACTGAGCTTCAGTCATATTTGTAACTTTAAAATTTGGCGGCAGCTACCATTCTGTTTTTCAGGATGGCATGTAATCATGATATTAATACTGCCCAAGACTTATGAGTCATTGGGTTGCAATGAAAATATATATTTCACCTGAATACATGGATATGTACCACATGGGTATCTGGTCCTCAAAGTGATCAAAAGATGGTCTCAGAAACCCTGCACTTGAAATAATGGAGAGTTGAGATCCCCCAAGTAAGTACTGGCAATTGAGCCCACCTCAATCAAGACCATCAAGAGCTCTTTACTACTGAGCCATCTCTTCTGCCCTGTGTTGAATATTTATGATTAACATTTATGTTGTTAATGTGTTCATCTTTCTATAAGTAACTGTTTAAACATTCAGTGCCTTTTACTACATCTTATTGATCCTATAGTTTAAATTGGGGTACTTCAGGTTTCTGGAAGATGAATACAGAACTCTTTGTAGAAATATCAGTAAAACCCTCTGAGTTCTTTCTATCTTTTTTTGTTGTGTGTGATGTTTTTTTGCATAGGATAAAGGGTCTTAATATGTACTTCAGGCTGTCCTGGAACTGACTGCATAGACTAATCTGGCATTCAACTCCAAGGCAGATTTATCTGTGTCTGTCTTCTGAGTGCAGGGGTTATATGTGTGAGCCAATAGACCCAACTTGTCCAACTTATTTTTCTATTTTTGTAGTTAACAATTGTTCCTACAATTGCTCTCATATGTGCTCTGTAATGTAGATCTGTTTATTATTCTTTTTGATATAGGATATCAAGATGATATCCTATTCACAGGATACAGAAATGACAGAGGTGAACCTCCTATTCAATTTCCTTCTAAAGTAACTTGATGATTACATTATAATGTCTATATCATGAGATCAGTGTGGGGAGCACCAGAATTATATGACTATACTGTCAAAGAAGTATATATTTACAATGTTGTCAGTATCATCCTTTCTGTTATACACATGTATCGGATATTTTAGAATGCAGTGACCTATGATGATGTGCATGTTGGCTTCACTTGGGAAGAGTGGGCTTTGTTGGATCCTTCTCAGAAGAATCTCTACAAAGATGTGATGCTGGATACCTATAGGAACCTCACTACCATAGGTAAGAGGGAATTTTCTTCAAGTTTTCAAATAAGGAGACAACTGTTCCTTGGTTTTTTATGTTCTTCTGAAATTTGAGAAAGAAGAATGAGTTGAATAATTCAGGCATGGTTCTGAGGTTCACTGAAGATAATAACTTCAATTTTGCACAATTTTCAACAATATAACATACATTTCCTGGTACTATATTTTAGGATACAGTTGGGAAGGCCATAATATTGAAGAACATTTTCAGAGTTCTAGAAGACATGAAAGGTAATTATCATGTGCCAGCTGCTACAAATGTGCACCTGAAGAAATTTTAATGTGTCCTGGAAGTTTTAAACAAAAACAACAGTGTAAATAAGCTTCATGTGTATTGATGTGTATTAAATTCTCTCTAAACAATATACCTCAATTTCAGGTAGGTGAATTGCATTTGCAAGGCATTCTTTTAAGAAAGAAAACAAGGAAGCAATGCCTTAACAGATATCACTATTTGAATCATAGCTCCATGAGAGCTATGCTGTAGAACTGTCAATCTATTTATTTCATAACACTCATATTACAAAAGGTATACACATTGAAGAGGTGATAAGTATATCTCTAAAACATTTTAATAAGCAAATAGTCCATAGTAAAGCTAGTGTTACTCATATATTTGTTGTGACTGGGCTAAGTTCAGTGAGATTAGCAGTTAGAGTGAAGAGTCCAAGGGCATTTTTTTGTGGAGAAACCTTAATCAGTACACTACAAGTCTATGAGGAATAGAAAGTCAAACTGTTCATTCGATGGGGAAAGTTTTTATTTGTTATTCTCCCTTTACTAAGTATATCATATGTCCCTCTGGATACAAGCTATATGAGTATAGGAATATGGAGAGACATATCATACCTCTCTCTCAGAATAATTAGAAGATATGTAGCAGTCCCCATGTTGAGTATACTTGTTGAATTTGATTCAGTTATACAAGTAATTCATTTTGCAGCTTCATTGTTAATATATCAACAAACTCAAAATTCAGAAAAGCCCTGTGAGTACTATGACTCTGTAAATCCTTCTGTTTGTCCAGTTCAATTTGCAAATGTAGTATGACTTAAAGTATAATAAAATTCATAAATGCAATAAGGGTGGTAAAGCTCTGAGTTTTTCCATTTCTCTTCAAATTGTGAGAACTCTCATATAGAAAAAAATTCTGTGAATGTGCAACATATAATAAAGGATCTTACCATTCACAGACATCTTCAAAGATGAAAAACAACCCTTAATGAAGGGGAACAACATAAGTGTAAACATGGTGATAAATCCTTAATCTTTACAGTTGGACCAAATTGAATATGAATTCATATATATAAAGAGATTCAACCATGTATTGAATTTTGTAAAACTTTAACATATGCCAATTCTCTTTGCAGGCACAAAAGAAGTGATACTGGAGAGAATTCTTCTGTATATACTCAGTGTGTTAAAGCTTTTGTATATGACAGTCATATGCAAAGGCATGAAATAACACATACTAGAGAGAGACACTATGAAAGTAATCAGTGTGGTAAAGCCTTTGCACATAACAGTAAGCTTCAAAGGCATACAAGAACACATACTGGAGAGAAACCCTATGAATGCAATCTTTGTGATAAAGCCTTTCGACGTCATAATGCTCTTCAAAGGCATGGAAGAACACATACTGGAGAGAAACC